CCTGAAACCGCCAGGGGGCGCTGCGCGGCGGCCGGCGGGCCGGGGGCGGAGCCGCTTTAAATCGCGGCGCCCAGCAGGTTGGCGTCTCAGTCCCAGCCGAGAGCCGCGCAGCTTTTCGCGTCCCAACTCCAGCGCCGACCCGGACCGGACCCTGACCCACAGTTTCGCCAGGGGCAGCACCAGGAGCAAGGCTCCCCGCAGTCACTTTCTCTGCGCGGCTCCGTCACCCCGGGGAGTCCCAGGTGCGCACCTGCCAGCTCCGCCTTCTGCACCTGCCACCGGCGAGCCAGCGCGGGCACCGGAGCGAGCCATGGCCAACGCGGGACTGCAGCTGTTAGGCTTCATCCTGGCCTTCCTGGGCTGGATCGGCTCCATCGTCAGCACGGCACTGCCCCAATGGAAGATTTACTCCTACGCTGGCGACAACATCGTGACTGCCCAGGCCATCTACGAGGGGCTGTGGATGTCCTGCGTGTCACAGAGCACCGGGCAGATACAGTGCAAAGTCTTCGACTCCTTGCTGAATCTGAACAGTGAGTGCCTTCCCCACCCCCACGGCCGTGAACCTGAGACCCCAGGCCCCCAGGGGCTCCTTTTTTGGGTAGAGGCTACCAGTTGATTCCGTGATGTAATTACATGATGAAACTTAAGTTGATCAGGTCTTCTGATCATGTGCTTTGTGGTGAGGAAGCAAAAGAACTGTGGTTTGGGAAAAGAGACGCCCTGGGCTCAGCTCTGATTTTCCCTCCAACTCCCTGGGTGACACGTTTCTCCTGTAGGTGTGTTTTTATCTTAAATTCCCTTGAGAGTGAAGTGGAGATTGAGTGGGTGAAGGCCAACCTCCAACTTCAGATCGAAGGCCTTTCCTGGACATTGTATAAGATTCAGTGTAAATTGAAGAATGGTTGGGTTTGGGCAAGAAAACCCTGTGCTTTAAAAAGTTCAGAGGCTGGTAGCTTTTCCAGATTCTACGATTACTAGACAATCCCAACGTTTTAGATGAATTGTGAGGGTTTTAAAATCTATCTTTACTATGAGTTTCCATAGTAAAAGTCACATTCCTACATGGACTGTCCCAACCCAGTGAGTACTACCCACACTTGAGCTTGAAGGCTCTGATCCTTTTGAGTTTTGAGATCCACTAAGTGTGGGGAGGCTCCATCGCATTCTCTTCCTTGACTCGGGGTTCGCATTCAAGCTGGACTCTGCAGAGGAGGCAGATTGTGTCATGTCATTTTGGAAAGTGTAGGCTGGTGGCAGGTGGAAAAGGGTGACAAGAAGGAAAAGTTCTAAATAAGCTCCCATCATAACAGGGAGGGAAGAGTGAGGGCATGGAGAAAATGTGGCAAAGGAGACACAGTTGAGGAAGGCAGAACTCAGCCGGGGAGGAAGGTAGTGAGAGACACAGTAGGTCTTCTCCAAGCTTCCGTCTTCCTCAAAAGAATGTCTGTGTAACGCACGTCCATCCTTCTGTCAAGTGAGAGAGGGTTATGCAGAGAGAACTATTTTGAGAGATGTATTTCTAAGGATGATGGGGAGAAGGATGATAGAATGGCCTTTTTACTTTTATTTTTCTAGGTAAAAGCTTTTGAGTGCCTTTTCAGAAATGCATTAAATTGCCACTTACTTAGGTCATAACAATTCATGGCTGGAGTACCTTCCTTGAGGTACTCCACTAGTTGTCCTGCACCTGTGTGCCTCGTATGGCCTTGGACTAACTTGAGGAAAAGTTTCCTCTGTCTTTACCTGGACAAATGAGCCTGCCCGTCAGCCCCCTTTGTGTTCTGAGGGTAAGCCTCGCTGTCATCATGCAAACTTACTTCTGTTGACCTGTCCACCTGCTATGTGTGGTTTTGTCAGAAACCATACAGTTTAGAGTTATTAAATCTGTTCTGAATCTGTTCAAACAGCTTGAGCACCTGGTCCGTCAATGTGCATGGTGGTTTTGAGTGTTCTCGTTTCAACTTTTCAAAGTTCCCATATTGTTAGGATCCCTTTATACCAAATATAAGAAGTATATTAAGTACGCTCCCTTATGTAATCATTGAATCTCCCCATGAAAAGACGAATGCGTGTAAGGAAATGATGTCAGGCATTTTGCATGTCATGCTAAGGACTTGGCAGATGGAGAAGGTTTTAAGGGCAATTCCAGAGAGCTCTCTGATTCTTCTGATCAAAACAGTTCATTCTCAACACATTTAACTAGGTTTCCTTTTACTTCCTTAAGCCACCAAATAGAATCCATGACCAAATTGATCCATGTTGTAAATACTCCAACAGGTAGGTCATTGCTATACATGATAAAGTGTCAAAATGTTTTACTTCCATTTATTCCCTGCTAATATAGCAGTTGTGGTTTTTTGAAGCTATTGTAGAAGAACTAAATACACTCCCCTGCACATTTTAGAGATTGCTTCCTGATGATTTAAGTCCAGATCAGATTCCTCTTTTTGTTTTGGTCGAAACCAGGGTTTATCCAAAGTGGAGGTGAGGCCTTTCTCTCAAAACTGATTCCCAGAAGAGGGAGCCTTGACTCACAGGTACTTTCCCAAGCTGCCAATGACTGACCAGATGCCTTTGAATGAAGCCTAGTGAACCTGTCTCTGTTTCTCTGCCTGGGCTGTGGTCCTCACCCTCACCTAATGTAGAGACCTGGGGTAGTGGTGATTCATTGGCTGGATTGGATACAGTTTTGTAACATCTAGAAGAGAATGATTATCTTATGTGTAAGTAGTGTCCCTTGTAAAGGGTTGCATTCCAGGAAGTGCTTTTAGCTTATAGCTTAACTAGAAGTTTCCTGAAATTGTACCTTGTTCTCTTTGCCAGTCGAGCCCACTTGGCATCTTAGGGTGGAGATAGAGAAATTTATCAAGGTTTGTAACAACAGACATGTTAAAAGCCCTTGATCCCCTGCTCTAGCTAGTGTCAGCTATAAAAAGCATGTGGCATTCATAAAATATCTAAAGGAATATAGGGTATTGAAACCAGTTTAGGAAATGGGATACAACAGGGCTTTTTTTTTTTTTTTTTTTTTTAATGTGGTTCTTGCAAAGTAGTTTATTAAAATGTAACTGAGAAACTTCCTGGGGGGGTGGGGGGAGGGAAATGTTACACTGTGTATTGTGGTTTTACTATGGCCGAAACCATTTCAGTTCCATCCCAGGTATGAGATGCTTATTGACAAGATGACTCCTGCAGCTGAGAATTGGCATATACAATGAGGAGTGCCAGATACAGCTGCAGTAGACTTTTCCTGATTAAACTGTACATCTCGCCTTGTGTTGATCCAGTTCTCAAGCTTTTGGCGAGCTTGTGTCTATTTTATGTAGTTAATTCATTGTTTCTTCTTGCTTGATTTTAGTGGCGAGAGCGGTCCAAAGGATTGGGCTGTCCAAGTAGGCTGCAGTGTGGGAGGTGTGCAAGTAGAGAAGTAAGCATTTTGTAGGAATGTTGTAGGGAAAATCCAAGCACCAGACAAATGGAAGGTTAGGCTAGACTCTCCTAAGTCTCATGTAACTTTGGGATTCTGTAATTTGTTTATAAGCTCCTCTAGCCTGTTCCACTTGCTTTGCATGAACCCACATGTGTGTAGGTGTGCTTAATGAGTATGGGTTGTCAGTGAGGTTTCCCAGCACTCTCCCCATGATGTCAGGCTCAATCAAAGAGACGAAATCACTGACTTGGATTTTAAGTCTTTAAAGCATAGGCAGAGAGGAAGGTAGGTACTCACATTTCCCCAGTCTACATAATGCATGCTGCAACCAAGGGGTGTTCAAGGGGCCACTGGTGTTCGACTCTGTTTCATGAATTAGTTTTGACTCTTGGAATGATGAAAGTAAAAAAAAAAATTAAAAATCTAAGCTTGAAATCAGAAGTTCTCAATGCTTACCCTAGTTTTGTGCTAAGTAGCTTTGTATATTATGGTAAGCCACTCCATCTCTCTGGGCTGTAGTTTTCCCACTTATAAAATAGGGCAGAGTGAGGGGGATGGGGAGATGAATCCATGATTCATTCATCAACTCAACAAATGTAAGCCAGGCCCTATTCTTGCTCCCAGGGATGCAGCTGAAATGATTTAGAAGGTGCCAGTGTTGATTCCTGCCTGTGCCAACATTCTTTGTTACTGACTGCCATGATTGAAGGCAAAGAAGCAAGTGGCATAGTTTAGGTTTCCCTGATGGGAGCGATGGCTAAGTGGTAATATGGAAGCTTACATTCAATCATGAGGCAATTTCTCTAAGAAACAAACAAAAAAGATAGCGAGACTACTCAGGACATCCTGAGAAGTGCTAAGTCCTGACTCCTCCCAGACCACTTCAGTGACTGTGGCAGTGTTCTGAGGTCATACGCAGTGGCCACCAGCTTAGGCGTCAATAAAATGGAAATCATAACAATGAGAACTCTTGAGAAACTTTGAACTTGAGTAAAAGTGAAAAAACCATGGGAGTATATAGTTCTGTGAGTCTGTGATGAGCTCATTTAATTGCAGGGAAGAGAGCGTTTTTGTTTCAGTCACCCAATGGTCGGTTCATTTACTTGCCTAACACTTATTAAGCAACTACTCATGCAAAGGGAGACCACGTGAGGGTGTGGATTTAATGAAAATCGATTTTGTTTGATACATACTGCGTAAGGTAGTGATATAGCAATATGGCCAGTAAACAGCATACACAATTATACAATGCCAAGTATCTACAGGAGACTTTGCTGCTTGTATAGTAAGACTTAAAAAAAAAAAAAAAAAAAAAAAAAAAAGAAACCTTTAGAAAAAAAATGGACATACTTGTCTATACTTGTCTTTCTACACTCATGTTGATTAACCCAACTGTAGTCGATCAGTAACTTCTCACTCATTTCTTGTCTTGTAAGTAGAGGTCTTTGTAAGTACTTTTTCAAATTATACTTTCGGGTCGAAAGTGGTGAGAACCCCTTAGGGGGTCTTTAATCTCAAGATTATCGGTCTAGGTAAGTGTAATTAAAAGACTGCCTCCTCTATTTACTGCTGAATAATGATGAGAAACAATAGTGTAACTTTCTGAATGTTTGCTAACCATTTTCCCCACAGACAACTTTAGTCAGTGATAAGAATATTGTAGAGGTGTCTCCAAACTTAAAGGGCCAGGAAAGGAACAGATTGCTTCCAGAGTTGATCCAATTAGGCCAGCTCAGAGTTAATAGTTCAAGGCTATACTGTATCTATCTGGTCTAAAATGCTGTTTTGTGGCTCTCAAAGATTTCTCAACTTCTTTATCCTGCTCATCATTATTCTACTAGGAAAAAGAAAAAAAGAAAGAAAGAAAGAAAGAATGAGCTCAGAAGCTCATTCAATGCAGAATTCTAAAATTTTGAAAGCTAAAAAAATAAAGAAGTTAAGCACAAAATATGATTTGTTCCCTCCTTGTATAAGTTTCTGGCTTTTAATGATTGAAACTAAGTCTAGCTTTATATAGGAAATTTTTACTCTACCCAGGCTCACTAAGGAGGCGTTGCTCATGAGTATATCAAAGACTAAGCTAAACACCAGAGTATTTTCTCTGTTGTATTAGTGCAAATTTGAAAAAATAAAAACATGTTCTAATTTGAATTCGTTGAACACAGGTTGAATAACCCATGTAGCTTGCCAGGTACTGTTCGTAGTGTTTTGGATGGAACAAATATCTGCCCTAAGACCTCAAGGAGCTCACAATTACATATTTTAGACCTCTGGCTTAAAAGGCTTCCATAAGACCTTAATTTGAAGGATTCATCTGGTTCCAGCTTAAAATTGTGCAATTTAGATTCTATCTCCACATAAAATTCTCATAACTTGTAACACAACACTTGCTCACTTTGACTTTGTAATCCATTGTTACATATGCCTAACTAGTGAGTTTTCATGTTGTTATGATTCTCAGCCTTTTTTTTTAACAACCCCCCCACCCCACACATATCAATATAGTTAAGAATTCATCCAAATGTCTCCAATGAAGCAAGATGAGATTTTGTGTTTGATGTGCATCCAGTATTGTAACATAGAAATTGTGCAAGTCAGTGGATGCCGAGACATAAATGAAAAGAGAGAAGGAGAAAAATACTGCTTTGCAAAATAACACTATTGCTTTATCAGATCTTTAAAAATGAAACATGATCTCTGTTCCATTCAGCTTATATGATTCCCAAGCAATTTTTTTTCTATTTTCGCCATTATTTTTTGTGCATTGTACAAATAATTCATTATTCTGTGAAGAAATAAAACAGAGGGGGTTTTGTAATGAACAGAAGAAAATGTTTCCTCCCCCTTAGAAGCTTTGTGAAATAAGGGGAAAGAATAAAATGGGTATGGCATGAACCAACTGTGCTTTCCCGGAGGACTTGAAGGGGGAAAACTTAGAGATGAAAACTGTGAATATTCGATCATTCCAGGTGAGTGCAGATGGAGACATGGAGTAGTTTATCTATGTGTGCTCCCTGTCTGGGTGGTTTTATACAAGTGTGACTCATGAGACTGAGGCACAGTAGACTCCCCGTGAAGAATACCTTGTGATTCAAGTGCTCAGACCTGCTGGGCTGGTGGCCTGGTGTTTTTACATGAAGTGCAGATCAGGATGATTATTACAGTCTCTGAGTCAGGTTGGGGGCCCTACAAGACAAACAAAGTGGAAAACTTGGAGAGACATCATAGTTTAACAATAAAAGTGGTTAATAAAGGTTGGAAAACTGTTTATGAGAGAAAAAGGCAGGAGAGGCTGAGAGATGTGGAAGGCTGCATGTAATTTAAGGGTCGTCATGGTAAGAATATTTGCTAACTGTGCTCTCTATATTGAAGGTAAAAATCCTGCCACCCCTCCTTTTAGCCCCTACAATGACTTCTGATTACACTTAGAATAAACACCGAACCCCGTACTCCAGACTGCAAAGCCCTGCATGATCTATGCCTTCTGACCACCATGCTAAACCCACCTCATTTTATTTCTCACATTCTGTCATCCTCCAGTAGAGTGACCCCCTGTCCCCACTTGCCCAGGATTCAGGTCCTTCTCAGGAGGTAGGACTTGTAGTTTTAACACCAAGACAGTAGGGTGCCTGAGTAGGCTCAGTAGGCTAAGTGTCCAACTCTTGGTTTTGGCTCAGGTCGTGATCTCACAGTTCGTGGGTTCGAGGCCCCACATCAGGCTCTGCACTGGCAGCATGGAGCCTGCTTGGGATTCTCTCTCTCTCTCTCTCTCTCCCCCTCTCTCTCTCTCTCAAAATAAATAAATAAACTTGGGGGAAAAAAAAGACAGTGCCAGGCAAACAGACAGGAGTCATCCTATCCTCCTGGCATATGGATTATCTTTGTGAGTTTCAGCATTTCCTCTTCCGGTATTCTTCTGCTCTCAGTGGCATTTGGAACCAAATCTGAAATTTGTGTTATGTATAAGAACTTAGTTATTTTGCTTTTCATTTCCCTATTACATAATGATAGTCCTTGCAAAAACTGTTGGGAAATGAGAAGGAAGGACACACTGTGACAGTGGATTCCTTGGTACTTTCCTCCTCTTACCTCAGGATTGTTTGTGATTCCAAGGAAGAAGGTTTGTGTTAATCTTACAAGCAGCTTCAGTTCCTGGGAAATGCATACGGAACATGTGTTTTCTTTCAGCAGTTCTTATACTACCCTGGAATCTTAAGCGAAGTGTGTGGGTAGGGTACACGTGTGCCCACACACGCTTCTAAGGACGTGGATATGTAAGGGGGGGAAGGTGTTTCCATTTTGGCATGTAATTAAATCATGGGGCGCCTGTATGGCTCAGTCGGTTGAGCATCTGACTTCAGCTCAGATTATGATCTCGTGGTTCACAAGTTCGAGCCCCGCCTCAGGCTCTGTACTGACAGCTTGGAGCCTGGGACCTGCTTCAGATTCTGTGTCTCCCTCTCTCTGCCCCTCCCCTGCTCCTTCTCTCTCTCTCTCTCTCTCTCTCTCTCTCTCTCTCTCTCAAGTAAAGAAATAAATAAACATTAAATTTTTTTAATCAAATAAAAATTTATCTTGGCTTCCAAAATATCTCTCAGATACAGTAAAATAAAATACCTTTGATTCTTGTGATTTTATCAGAGATTGGATGTAAATATTAAAACATTAAAATTGAATGATGTTTTAGAAATCTTTAGAGTTAACTGCAGCTGGGAATGTAAGTTTTCAGCCTTGAACATAATAAGACTGAGCTTAAGTATCAGTCTGATAATGAGATACAAAACCTTTCCATCATGTCAGCCACTTTTGCAGACCATCAAGAAGTAAGGTGTTCCAACTTCTTGGCTAGAGATATCGTCATTCACACTTTCCATAATAGAAGCATGGTCCCAAAGAATAATAAGCAGCTTACCCAAGATGGCACGGTATGTTAAAATGTAAATAATATTTATATCTGCAAAAATAATTGTCACGTGTTAACACTGTCAATAAGATAAAGATCTTTATCTGAAGGAGGAAAAAAGTCTACAATTATTCAAAGTCATTTCCCCATAAGTGAGTGAAAAAGTTGAAGGGGAGAAACTTTTTTTTTCAATCTGTGCCTTCATTCCACAGTGATGGTATCATGGTTTTTACTCTTTTTAAGTAACATACTGGTATAATCTCCCAAAGCCGACTGTATCTATTTGATCATGATTTAGTACGCCAAGGACAATAACAGGATATGAGAAAATTAGTGGAATCTTGAGAAATGCTACATTAAATTATTGTCTGCTATTTTACAACCTGACAGTTTAATCGTTTTGGACACTGGTGATATCTCTGAAAATATAAAACTACTATGTTCCAAACTAACATCTCAAAGTTTATTTGGTTTTGTTCTAAGAAAATGCCATTGATATCCCCCACCCCCAGCCCAATCACTGGAGATACAAATGTTACTTCTCCAGCCATGATAATCTTTGAGAAATTCGTTACTCGTCTTCTAAATTCACCTGTTTTTTTCTGAAGCTTGATGACTGGAGTATAAAGCCATTGACTATTACCAAAGTATATTGTAAGCCATGTTAATTATAAATGGTTTAACATTAAGGATAATACATAGGATTGTTATTTCAGAATTAAAATACTCTGCTAGTGAGGATTAGAGATGTATTAGTTCTGCTAAACCTATTCAACCAGGTCATTAATTATTTTTCTAGAGAATTTGAAGTTCATATTGAAAACATAAAATGTGAGAGCTGGAGGACTTCTTACTCATCATCCAGCCAGGTGTTTCTTTTTCTGGAGAGGAAACTTTGTTGGTTACCTGCAGAAACATTGCTAGAACTGGGCTGTCCTGACTCCTAGTTCATTTTTATCTCTTCCCTACAATATTGGAATATACTTGGCCTTCATTCATTCTCCTCTTGTTGGCCTAGGCGTCCTTTTTCCATGTTGTAAAATGTTTCCTTCCAGGCACTTTGCAAGCAACCCGCGCTTTGATGGTGATTGGCATCCTTCTGGGACTTATAGCCATCTTTGTGGCCACTGTTGGCATGAAGTGCATGAAGTGCATGGAAGACGATGAGGTGCAGAAGATGCGGATGGCTGTCATTGGGGGTGTGACATTTCTCATTGCAGGTAAGAGTGGCCCCGTCCCCCCGCCCCCCGTGTCTCTGGCACAGTTGAAGACCTCGGTTTCGGTTTCCTGAGAGTTTATTGGATTGGTTGCACTTAAACTGATTTATTTAAGCTCCTTTCAGATCTTGAAGGATGTATTTCGGTTCCTTTAAAATCTCGAAGACACAGAAACCTTGAGTCGACTTTCACTCTCTCAAATAGGATCCAAATGAAAATTTGAGATCTGTGCTCATGGCGGCAGAGAGGGGGGGCAGTTCTGTTCATTGAGTTCCCAGGTGCCGGCTGTTTTTCTACAACCTGTCTTCCAGGTGAAGAGAGGTATTTTCTATTTGGCAAACACTAAGGAACAATTCTATATGATTCAGAAATTTTCTGTAGTGTCTCCACAGACACTATGAAGCAGAGATGGGGAGTAATGACAGAGAGAGTACGTGAAGATTGTGTGAATTGTACAGGTCTGTGAGCAATGGATGGGATTGAGGTTTTTTGGAGAAAAATGAGGACAACATTCCAGGCAGACAGATCTGATTCCAGAATAAATAGGATGTACTATAAAGAAGTGAAGAGAAAGGCCAAATGGAGTAGAGGTGGAACGTTGGAATGGCAGGAAATTAGGTAGATGAGATAAGAAAGAGAGAGCCTTGATAAAGTAATGAAGTTTTGTTTTCCATAGACAACATACATGTATTTGTTGCTTCATTCAAGTGTTGATTGATGTGTTACATATGTGACCTTTGAGAAAATGAGCACCAGAAGAAGACGTGGACAGTTCCATTATAAAATTCTATAATAAGGGGTGCCTGGGTGGCTCAGTCCATTTAGTGTCCAACTTCAGCTCAGGTCATGATCTCACAGTTTGTGAGTTCAAGCCTCATGTCAGGCTCTGTGCTGACAGCTCAGAGCCTGGAGCCTGCTTTGGACTCTGTGTCTCCCTCTCTCTGCTCCTCCCCAGCTCGTACTCTGTCTCTCTCTCTCTCTCTCTCTCAAAAATAAATAAACGTTAAAAAAAAAAACTTTTAAGCCTATAATAAGAATTATATTAAATAAGATTGTTCATGTGTATGTATACACATATAAATATGTATAAATGTGTGTATATAAAATAATAGACTACTATATAAATTATAAACAGTGTATATACCTTATATAGTATATGTAGTAGTCTATTATAGTTTTTTAAAATGACACTAGTGATATAATCTACCATTAGGAAGAGCTAGAATTAGACTTTCTTTTCTCATTTTCTCTTTGACAAAAGACTTTGTAGGGCCTTTAGCCCAGCATCATATGTGGATTTTACCAATAGTGAAGGAAGAGTGTCTGTGGCTTTACTAAAGATTTGGCTAAAGGGATCAGTCTTTGAATTTATTCAAATTAGCTCCTGTCAGAAAAAGCACGGATGGCATTTTATTCCCAACAGTTTGGTCCCAAAGGCTATGAATAAACTGCATAGTGCCCCTTCTTTGCTTACCTTCTTATAACTTCTGTAAGTGCAACACCCCTGCTTCTGTTTTACGGTGGTGAGGGTAGCAGGTTCCGGAGCCTTGTCATCGGTAGCCCTTGTCTCGGTAGCCAAAAGCAATAGTGTTTTCTGTCAAGTATTAGAGACAATTAGATTGGGCCAATTTTGGCGGGGAGTAGGGAGGGGAGGGGGAAGGAGGGAGTAGCATGGACATATTTAATCTGTTTATAGTGATAGTTTTATAGAATTACTGCAAAAAGAAGCTACTTAATCTCTTTGGATAAGAAATACTGAGATATTTTATACTTCTTATAAATGATAGAAGTAATTATGTTGAGTAAGTAGTTTCCCTGGTATTACTGAAATAGGAAGTGTGTGAGAAATTGAGGGCATGCTACGTAAATCGATGTAGCATATGGCACCTCACCAGTTCTCAAGGCAATATCTGTCATGTCTGGCCAGTGGGGCAGTAGGATTTGGTCCATACTGAGACAGGTCCTGCTCTTCCCTGCTATCTAGTTGTTTACTTTCCTTTTGGTCCTGTAGAAATGTAAATCTCGAATTTGGGTCAAGAAAAATGGAGAAGGGTTTTCATCTTCTCTTTTGCAAGTGACTGTCTGTACTAATACGGACATTGGCTTTATCAAAAAGTTTAGTACACTAATGTGTAACAATATCTTTGAAGGAGATCTTAGCTGACACCAAGCTGTTGAGTTATTTCCCAATGAAGTGTTATTTGTACCTGTGACCTTGGACTGTAAGTGAATAAGATGATATGAAGAGTGTAAACCATGCCCAACTTCAACTTAATATTTTTGCCTCTCTTAACAGAATACTTGGAATAAATCATGTCTAAATCTCCAGGCTCCCTCAGTTAAACTTGTCTAAATTAAAATTGACTAAATTAAAAATGTCAGCACTATTGATGAGATTCAATTCTTGTAAAATGCTTATAAATGTAATGGGTGTATATTTTATGTTCATTGTTCCACAATGATTAACAGTCTTTTGTTTTGATTTTCTGTAGGTCTGGCTGTTTTAGTTGCCACAGCATGGTATGGCAATAGAATTGTTCAAGAATTTTATGATCCCATGACCCCGGTCAATGCCAGGTAATGCTATTCATGCATAAAATAGTTTGTTCTCTGAGAAAATACCCTTTTTATGTTCTGCAAAGTCCAACTAGTGCTGTAACTTCCCAGATTTGCTGGGAGGTTTATGAAATTTTAGTCAAACTTGAAAATAATCTAAAAGGCCTCTAACTGATGTTAAAATGAGTTTTAACAGCCTATATTGATGACAAAATTTGCTTAAAAGTAGAACATTTCCAAGCTTTATACTTTTCAAGTATATACTGGACCTTTATTTCTTGTTTATTCTTTTAATATCAATAAAGATGTTAACATATTTAACATTTGCTTTTTGAAGTATATCCCAACACTTACCACACTTGATTGATTGATTATTTGTAAGTTAACACACTGTTTATGATTGGTTGAAAAAATAGTACTAGTGTAGAGGTTACTGAATAGTACTTCAATCCCAACAGTTTAATTTTATTTAAGAAAAAAAATATATAACTTATTTATGAAAAAAATAAGTTGAGATACTACTTTGAAATTTTCTGTTCCATAACAGCTATAAAATTGGCTTTGCTAAGGTCATTTTTCTTAAAATTGCAAGTTGTAGAAATAACAGAGCTGAGTCTTAGCTCTCATGTAACAACACTCTTTGATCAGCGACAAGGCTCTTTGTCTCACTGTGTTCACATCATTAAGGCCTAATAACTGCATTCAAAGTCAGGATGTTAAGGTATAATTATTGTTTGTTTAGAGCTAGGATGAATGGATGAAGAATCACAGTGATTGGAGAGATAAGGTGTGCTTCTCTTCTTGTAATCACCCACATCTAGGAGAACACATACTGCAGTGATCATGATCCTGTTGGAGCCCATCCCCTAAGACTTACAATATAGGGACGGAAATTGCAAAGTCTCAGTAGGCTAAAATTTTATCAGTAATGCATGTGAAAGCACTTCATAAATTGCTTGGCACTGTATACTTGTTATTTACATGGTGTTCCATGATCCTGAAAACCATCCACTGAGGCAGACGAGATCATCCTGCTTTAAGAGAAGCAGAAACTTAAGGCTGGGACGTGAAGGTACTTACTAGCCAAAAGTGCAACAGTGGAGAATCCAGGCCTCATCACTCTAGATCCAGCCCTCCTCTACTCTGTGGTCCACCATCATTCACAGATCCTCTCCTCAGGAGTCTGGCTTCATACATCCACCTGGATCAGCTAATCTGAATGGTCTGTGGATTGCTTAGAAGTCTTTTTTTTTTTTTTTTTTTTTTTTTTTTTTTTTTTTTTTTTTTTTTAAGAAAACCACACATTTCTGACTTCAGTGTATGTAGGTATCTAGGATCAACTATTGAAATTCTAATAGTCTCCATCGCTCTCTAGCAGTTTCTTTACAGGATATGGTTGCTACTTGGCAAGAGCATAATTGTTCAGTTTTAGCCTGAGAATCATGGTCCAAGTCATAAACATGCTTTACAGGTCTCCTACATGTGGTAAAGTCTTTGGAAATATTTGTGTGATTAACCTGGTGTTGCATGCCATATTGCCTGAGCTACTATTGCAAAGTGTCTACAACTGTAATGTAAACATTCTTATATGTATGTATTCATAAACCTTAGAGTACTTCCCCCAAGGGATCATGGGGGATTTGTTTTTAATTGGAAAAATATTAAATGAATATGATACTGATTTCCATCCTTAATTATATTATAAAAATTTTCAATGGTCCATTGATTAAACAAATGCATTGTCTTTTCTTTTTAGGTATGAATTTGGTCAGGCTCTCTTCACTGGCTGGGCTGCTGCTTCTCTCTGCCTTCTGGGAGGTGCCCTACTTTGCTGTTCCTGTCCCCGGAAAACAACATCTTACCCAACGCCACGGCCTTATCCAAAACCTGCACCTTCCAGTGGGAAAGACTACGTGTGACACAGAAGCAAAAGGAGACAGCACTATCGAAAGAAGTAGAAAATGGACATTGTAATACTGTCATTGACCTTAGACTTTTGACTATTGTAGTCTGAACTGTGGTATTACCAAACCAAACCAAACAAAATCAAAAAAAAAAAAAAAAAAAAAAAAAAAAAAAAAAAAAAAAAAAAAAAAAAACCGAAAACAAAAAACCCGATATTTAAAAAAAAATACCTGTTGCTAAAAATGGCTTAGTCTTATTTTATCTCCTTTCCTTCAATACAGGAGGGAAGCCTTTTCCATTTTTATTACTGCTTCCCACTGAGTAATCACCTCAAATGTGGGGAGGGGGCGCTCCATAAATATATATAGATATGTATATATACATGTTTTTCTATAAAAAGTCCGATAACAAAAGCTCTTATCATTATATTGGTACCATTATACTTAAAGTATATCTAAAAAAAGAAAAATATATTTAATTCTATATTGATTGAAAAAAGCAGTTTATTTGGTATATTTCTCTTCTTCTGTATGGACACATATATAATAGGTCAAATATCATTTTCCCTCTTTCATGAGTTTTTAGTGTCTTTGACAGAAGGCCTAATCTATTTTATCAAGTATGACTTTTTTCACTTCTTCACATGTGCCCTTTTCATGTGCTTCTTTTATATTATTTTTATTATATTCTTACACTATGTGCTTTGTCATCAGTCATTTTTCATGTCTTTATTGTTTTTTTTTCATTAGGTTGAGCTTAATATTGAATCTGATAACACATTTTATATGCCTACAATTTAATGCCTAGAGTCAGTAAGAATCTCCTACAAATCAGAGCGTTAGAATATCTTTCTGTATGACCAGATGATATATTCCTGTTGACCTTCCCACACGATTTCTGTACTCTGCCTTACAACACTCTTGTTTGCTTTGAAAATATTTGTCTGATTGAGTTGCTGTGTGCTACTTTCCCAGGTGTTGTAACACAATTTTATTGATTGAGTTTTTAAGCTACTTATTCACAGTTGTATATCCCCCCAAACTATCTTTTTCTCCCCGCACCCCCTCAACCATATTGTTTTCTCATATGTAATTATCGTATAGTTTACTTCTTTCTAGAAAAAAATGTCTCACATGTCTGAATGAAGTGCTAAACTTCCTGTAGTGATAAGCTGATGATGAATATTCCCTCTCTAGCTGTAAGCGAGTCACTTAATCTTTCTCCTTTTTTCCCATCTGTCAAATTGAGATAATGATACTTAACCAGCTGGTAGAGGCAGTGTGAGTATCAATTAGTTGATATTATTCTCATGCTTTGAACATGAACTATGCCTAAGTAGTGTTTTTATTTGCTCAATTGGCTGTTAAGAAGTCACTGAACCCAACCTCTACAATGCCTTTACATCGCCCAGCACCTTCCTTTCTCTATTGATCCATTTCCTTTCTATCAGCTGTGTATGCCATGCTATTGGTTCCCTGTTCCATTTTAACAATTGCTCTTCGTGTTCCTGTCTGAGAAATTACTACTTCACTTGAGCAAGATGATGTAATGGAAGGGTGTTGGCTTTGGTGTCTGGAGACCTGATTTGAATCTTGGTGCTATCAATTACTACGTGAGTTTGGGCAAGGCACTTTGCTGCCCTAGATTTATTGCCTCATCTGTAAAAAGGGGATTGTGACTCCTGACCTGCCTACCTCACAGGACTGTTGTGGGGATCCAGTAATATGGGATACATGTAAATATGGTTTGATAAGGTAAAAAGAAAAATACTCTATGAAAAAAAGAATTAAGGATTTGAGTGCACAGGTTTTGGGTTGCTTTTCAAATCACTGAAAAGAGAGAAATTTTAAGAAATGGCTTTCTTGCCTTAATCTCTCACATGATGGGACACTAAAGTGGAATTCAGCTTACTAAATGGAAAATATTCTGAGGAAGTCTTAGTTTCTTCAGTCAGTATGGCCTGATGCTTTTTGTGGCTAAGCTCTTCTCCTTTCAGTAATGCAGACTTGACTTAGCACAAGTTTGCAGATGTAATGGGTAAAACAGGAGCGTAAGCATTAGCAAAGGCAAAATATGGAAGATTTTTTGAATTATAGTAACTGGCCAGCATATACAAGGTGTTGCTATTAGCTGGCAGCTAGCACTACTTGAATAGGTAGTTTGAGAATGGAAATTCATGGTGAAACCACATGGGGAAGTTATCCAAAGGGCTGCATCATATGAGGATATGAACCAGAAAATTTTAGTGTGTCTTCCAAATCTGAAACTCTATGTTCTTAGAAGGTATAAATCAAAGAGACTTTCTACTTACATACGTCCTAATGATGTCTGAGTGTAAATGTATGTGGCTACTGGTTGCTAAACTCTACAGAGAAATTGATAGTCTAAAATGGCCAACAGAATTGGTACACCAGAATTTATCCAATTCTGCTATTTTTGTACTCCTCTTCTGTGCCTGGAAACAGACAAATAGATATTTTGGAGTTTTGTAATGAGAATTTGTATAAAGCATTACTCTTTTTCAATAAACTGTGTTTTTTTAATAAAAAATAGCTTGTTTTTCTAATTATTTCAAGATCGTCATGGTTGGAAGAAGTTATGGTTTAGGATAGGATCTGACTCACTGTACGTTCCTGGGAAAGTGCTATTGTGCCTCTGGGCCATCTATCAAGTAGTTGAGTAACTCTACCCACTGTAATGGCCTATTTCTCTCAAACTGAGTTTCTACCTCATCAAGGCTGGTGATAGAAGAGAATTCCAAGAGAAGGTGCTTTATTTTCCTCATCCACAAATAGGGGACATGCTACAAAAGATGACTAAATGGTAAAATAGCCATTGTACAGTATTGTGCAAGCGTAAAGTGGTTGTGTTCCTCAGAAGGTGGAAGAGTGACAGACGGTAGGCTAGAAATTCATTATCGTTTTTGTGATGATTATTATCAAAACTACCTCTGAGGAAAGCAAGTGATGAAACACATTCACTGATTATCTGAAAATATCAATAATTGATAAAGCCTTAATTGTAACCCCTCCCTGGGCAATTTTCATATTAAAGATACAGGCTTGTAAACAAATGATTGCAGCTCTGTGTGGAATTTCAGACATCAACAGGATGGGTGAGAGACTAAGGTTGTCAGTTTGATCTAAACTATTTGAGCAAATGCAACAGAATCCCAACTCTTTCTGTAGAATTTAAATTTCTGGGGGTAGGGTCCAGGCCCATGCAATTTGAGAGGAGATAAAATGCATAGGTGCTCCTGACAAGAACTCTGAAGGGAAAAGCCTGGATTGTAAATCATACCGAGTAGACACCCCCTTCTGTGTGAGCTCATCCTTGTTGGATGCCATTTTTCTGCAAACCATGCCATTTCCCCTACCTTTTAGCACTTCCTATGTAGATGTGTGTCCGGTTCAGGGAAAACTCCATGCCATTTTTATATTCCCCATTTGTAAACCTGTTGCTAATATCCTAATAAAATCCAGTAGTGGATACTTTCCCTTCTCTCTGCATGTGGCAGAAATGTAAGATTTCTGTAGTACCCTCCTCTCCCAGCCTAGACATATTCCATGTGCCCGCAACCTGCCCTAAAATCTCTAAAGTTAGCTGGTACCATGGAAACTGACAGAAGTCAGTGTAGATTCTAGGGTTATGGGGAATAGCTTGTTGAGTCCAAAAATAATCAAAAACATTCTCAATGTTCTGAACTTCTGCAAACCTCATGGCATTTTGTATACTAGACTTCCATTGACAGGTTTTTCCAATATGGCCAGTATTGGCAATTGGACTTGAGATATGAATTTACCCAATTAATACTTACTGAACACCAATGATAAGTCCAGTGTCAGTGAATGCAGACAAGGCTAAGTGATGTAGGGTACCAACAGACCCTGTCCTGGTGGTATCTCATCATGATTTTGATTTGTATTTTCCTAATGATGAGTGATGTTGAGTATTTCTTCATGTGTCAGCCATCTGAATGTCTTATTTGGAAAAATGTCTATTCCTGTCTTCTGCTCATTTCTTAATTTGCTTGTTTTTTGGCTGTTGAGTTTGATAAATTTTTTATGACTTTGCATACGAACCCTTTACTAGATAAGTCATTTGTAAATATCTTCTCCCATTCTGAAGACTGCCTTTTAGTTTTGTTGATTGTTTCCTTTGCTGTACAGAGCTTTTTATCTTGATGAAGTCCCAATAGTTCATGTTGGCTTTTGTTTCCTTTGCCTTCGGCGATGTGTCTAGTAAGAAGTAGCTCTCGTAGAGGTCAAAGAGGTTGCTGCCTGTGTTCTCCTCTAGGATATTGATGGTTTCCTATCTCATATTTAGGTCTTTCACCCATTTTGAATTTATTTTTGTATATGGTGTAAGGAAGTGGTACAGTTTCATTCTTCTGCATGTTGCTGTCCAGTTCTCCCATTACCATTTGTTGAAGAGACTGTCTTTTTTCCATTGGATATTCTTTCCTGCTTTGCCAAAGATGAGGTGACCATATAGTTGTGGGTCCATTTCTGGGTTTTCTATTCTGTTCCATTGATCTATGTGCCCATTTTTTGTGAAAAATAAGTCAACCAGAGAAAGACAAATATCTTATGATTTCACTCATATATGGAATTTAAGAAACAAAGTAGATGAACATATAGAAAAGGGCAGGGGAAAAGAAGAAAGGGAAACAAATCACAGGAGACTCTTAATGATAGAGAAAAACCTGAGGGATGATGAGGGGATGTCGGAGATGGGCTAGATGGATGATGTATATCAGGGAGGGTGCTTGTTGTGACGAGCACTGGGTGTTGAGTGTGGTTGATTAATTGCTGAATTCTGTTCCTATAATCAATATTGCACTGCATGTTAACTAAGTAACATTAATAAAATAAAATAAAATAAAATAAAGAAAAAAAGACCCTATCCAGATAATGAGCAGGGTGAACAATTATTACGTGGGAAGAGAACTAAACTTGGAATCTAGCACTGGTTCCACCATTGATCAGCCACAGTGAGCTATGGAGAGCTCCAT